TCCCGGCCACCACAGCCTCGCTGCTGGGCTCCAGCGATCCTTCCGCCTCAGCCTTCTGAGTAGCCGGAATTACAGGCATGCGCTACCATGCCCAGCTGATTTTTTTGATTTATTGTAGAGATGAGGTCTCGTTGCCCAGGTGGGTCTCCAACCCGCGGGCTCAGGCAATCCACTCACTTCAGCCTCCCAAAGGCGCGGGATTACAGGCTGAGCCACCGAGCTTGGCGCTAATGCTAATTTTTAAATGTCCTTGTTTCAGAACGAGAACACTCATAGGCCACCAAATTACTTTTCCATATAATAAATTATTTTCAAATAATGTCTTGTTTGGAATCAGATTGGCATATTTCGAATTTTGTTTCTTCCATTTATTATATTTTACTTCTCAAAGTTTGATCCTTGAGTAGCTGTGTCAGCATCACCTGAGAGCCTGTTAGAAATGCAGATTCTCAGGTCTCAGACCCATGGAATCAGAACTCCATTTATCCCATGTGATTCATATACATGCTGCTGAAGTTTGAGAAACATTGAGAACTTTTTTGTTTCTTAGTATTCCTGTTATTTTTGTTAAATGTACAAAAGAATTATGAGCATTAAATAATATATTTAAGTTGTCAGAATAATATTGGCATGTCCTAAGAACTCAATAATGTTAACTATCACTATTATTATTCTAACAAACTCACAAATCCTTTTTATGAGTGTCTTCAGCTCCTCCTCTGCTGTTTCAAGTGGTATCTGTTGCTTCAAGTCTTAGTCTGTAACTCTGTGGACCTTTCTGTTTTGTTTTGCAACCCTTCAGTACTATGCTATGTCTTTGTCTTTTTCCTTTTTTGCTATGGGCAACATGAAACTCTTCAGCCTGCTTTCTCTTCCTGCAGAATCATAAAACCTGAAGGGACCTTAAAGATCATCCATGCCTTTTCTTTTGGTTTTGAGAAAACTGAGGCCTTGAGAAGTTAAGGTATCATGTTGCTATGTTTGTAATTTACTCACTACATATCTTCAGCAGATGTCCCAGACACATTAAAAAAGGCTGAAGCAAGAAGAATTTAGTGTGTAAGTTCTCTTAAACATAGAAATCCAATGTGAGACAAGTTTTACTTCACCTAGAAAAAAAATTTTTAAAGAAAAGATACTATTTTGTAGGTTGGTGGAAAGATGGTAGTAATGTTTAGGCTGGAAGAGGCCATCCATTATTCAGAATTACTTATGGGGGTTTTTGTTTGTTTGTTTTTTGAGTTGGAGTCTCACTCTGTAACCCAGGCTGGAGTGCAGTGGCACGCTCACAGCCATCATAGCCTCGACTTGCTGGGCTCAGGTGATCCTTCTGCCACAGCCTTCCTAATAGCTGGAACTACAGGCATGTGCCACCATGCCCAGCTAATTTTTTGATTTATTGTAGAGATGAGATCTTGCCAAGTTGCTCAGGCTGGTCTTGAACCTGTGGGCTCAGGCAATCCTTTCACCTCGACTTAGCAAAGTGCTGGGATTATAGGCGTGAGCCACTGTGCCCATCTTGTTACTTGTTTTTTTCAAAACTTTTTAAAAGTTCCACATTAATTAGCCTCTTGTATTAATATATTAATATATAGTTCTCAAAGTTTTAGCTAATTTTTAGTTATTTAAAAATTTTCTGTTATAGAAATGATTTAACATCTGTTTTGAAATAATGCAGTTTTTATTCTGTTTCATGAACCAAATGAATGATAGCTTTGAAAATGAGATTTTAAATCTTATTAGAAAGATGTAACTTGTTTTTGAGAATGGTATATTTAAGTAAGTGTCATTTCTGCACTTTTATTGTCTCAGTTGGAACCAACCAGAGATGTTTTTGGGTTTTTTTTGAGTTGGAATCTCACTCTGTCGCCCAGACTGGAGTGCAGTGGCCACTCCCGGCCACTGCGGCCTCGACCTGCTGGACTCTGGCGATCCTTCCGCCTCAACTTTCCAAGTAGCCGGAATTACAGGCGCGCGCTAAAGCCCGGCTAATTTTTTGATTTATTGTAGAGATGAGGTCTCGCCTTCCCAGGTGGGTCTCGAACCCGCGGGCTCAGGCAATCCACTCACCTCAGCCTCCCAAAGGCGCAGGATTACAGGCTGAGCCACTGAGCCCGGCTCCAACCAGAGATTTTGAAAACAATCAAAAGTCCAGAATAGGCCTGTGCACTAGTGTTTGACTTACTTATAGGAAAGATGGTCAGGCCTATTCTCAGAGTTTAAGCTAATTTTAGATACTCTGACAAGTTTCATTTTTAAAATTTTTTGTTTATAGGGCTTTAGTAGATTAGAAGTCAGCAGTCTATCTTGATAGCACTAAAAACTAGTACGCATTTTCAGACATCCCTACCTCTACTGATACAGTATTTTCTGCCTCCCCACCTGAATAGCGTCTTTCATTCTGTCCTAAAAGTGTGATTCAAGTATCTTTACCTCTTGTCTACTCACATCATTCTTCATTCTTCTCTTACTACTTTCCCCAATTAACTATTCCACGGTCTGTGTTTTTATTTTATTTATTTTTTTAGTTGGAGTCTCACTGTCTCACCCAGGGTAGAGTGCAGTGACACATTAGAGCCACCATAGCCTTGACTTGCTGGACTCAGGCAGTCCTTCCACCTTAGCCTTCCAAGTAGCTGGAACTACAGGCATGTACCACCATGTCCGGTTAATCTTTTGATTTATTGTAGAGACAAGGTTTTGCCAAGTTGCCCAGGCTGGTCTCGAACCCCTGGACTCAGGCAGTCCTCTTGCCTGGGCCTCTCATAGTGCTGGGAGTACAGGCTTGAGTCACCATGCCTGGCAGTTTGTTGTTTTTGTTTGTTTGTTGAGTTGGAGTCTCACTCTGGTCGCCTTGGCTGGATTACAGTGGTACACTCATGGCCACTGTATCCTCCACCTGCTGGGCTCAGGTGATCCTTCCGCCTTAGCCTTCCAAGTAGCTGGAACTACAGGCACACACTGCCATACCTGGCTACTTTTTATTTATTGTAGAGACAAGGTCTTGCCAAGTTGCCCGGGCTGTCTTCTCACCTTGACCTTCCAAATGCTGGGATTACAGGCTTGAGCCACTGTGCCCTGCAGTCTATGTTTTTATGGTGTTGTGTTTATAACTCCCAAAGCATTAATTATGAAAGTTTAATGTTTTTAAAAACTGATATTGTCCTGGTTAGCCTATGAGCCTCTTGACATTAAGGGTCATATTATATCCATTTTCATATCCTCAAGTCCTAATACTCCTTAGTATACAGTGAATCCTAAAATAATTTTTGTCAAATGAAGTATAAGTATAGCACTACAGTTAAAGTTATACTTTAAACCACTAAAATGACTGATGTAATAATGAAATGAATCTGGTGTTTTTGGTGCTGTTTAAAAAGATGGGAAGTCCATTATATACTAAAAATTTGAAAAAGTTAGTGTTAAAGTAGTGTTAATTTCAGGGGTAGCTCATCTTTAAAAAAAACTATTCTCATGGGGCACAGTGGCTCACACCTGTAATCCCAACACTTTGGGAGGAGGATGTGAGAGGATCACCTGAGCCCATGTGTTCAAGACCAGCCTAGGCAACTTGATGAGACCTCATCTCTACAATAAATTTTTAAAAATAAGCTGTGTGTGGTGGCTTGTGCCTGTAGTTCCAGCTACTTGGAAGGCTGAGGTGGAAGGATCACCTGAGCCCAGCAGGTCAAGGCTGCAATAGCTGTGAGCGTGCCACTGCACTCCAGCCTGGGTGACAGTGAGGCTCCAACTCAAATAAAAAGCAATTCTCTTTGAAGATTGATATTCTGTGGGTTCTAAGTAGCTTGGTATTTTGGTAGTTAGTTACCTTTCTGGGCTCAGGAACGCTTTGCACTCTTAAAAGTTATTGAAGATCCAAAGAGTTTCAGGTATGTAGGTTATATCAATATTTATTTTATTAGAAATCAAGTAACATTTTAATGAAAAATGGGCATATTTTTAAAAATTTAGTGAGAAGAGTTTTATTAGTTTTGCAAACCATTTTAATGTTTGGCTACATCTTCATATCTGCTTCTGCATTCACTTGATTACAAAATGCTGTTTTTGTTGGAGTCTGAGAAGAAAATCTAGCCTCACAAATATGATTTGGAAAAGGGAGAAATGTTTGTTTGTTTTTGTTTTTGAGTTGGAGTCTCATTCAGTCGGCTAGACTGGAGTGCAGTGGCCGCTCCCAGCCACCGCAGCCTCGACCTGCTGGGCTCCGGCGATCCTTCCGCCTCAGCCTTCCGAGTAGCTGGAACTACAGGCATGCGCTACCACACCTGGCTAATTTTTTTGATTTATTGAAGAAATGAGGTCTCGCCAAATTGGCCAGGCAGGTCTCGAACCCGCAGGCTCAGGCAATCCACTCACCTCGGCCTCCCAAAGCGCGGGATTACAGGCTGAACCACCGAGCCCAGCTAAGTGGTTGATTTTTAAAGGCTTGGTGCAATGTGGAATCTGGAACCATATCCATGAACTTGTACTCTGTCAAGTTAAAATTCATCTTGTACTTTGAATACATCTTTTACCCATGAATGATTTTTATAACATTATGCTATCATTTGCAAAGCTTTGGTTCACTGAGTTCTGCAGATCTTCAAATGTTAATGTATTTTATAGTACAGTATTTTAAAAATCGTCACCAATCTCATCAGAAAGTTTTTGGAAGTGATCAAGCTGGAGGTGGTAGATACAAGTTTTCCCAAATTATAATTTGCTCTCAAAAACTTGGATTTTGTCATTGGTGATAAATATTATCAGTTGTTTTCCTTGAAGTGACAGTCTCACTTTATTCATTTTCAAGAAACTATCCATTTGTATACCTAACCCTGAATTGTACCCCACATCTTTGAAATAAAAAAATTAAGGAAAAAAAAGAAAGGAACTACCTGCCAGATACCCACTTCTGGTTAACAGTTTGTCTTATAGTCTGTACTTTGAAGAAAAAAGTGGCTAATTCAGGTTTTAACTACTAACTTTTCTATGTGAGCTTTCTCTTAAGACAGCCATCCCTTTCTGTACAGAAGTACTACTTTATGCCTGTGTCCCATTTTGTCACACAGAATATTAAAAAAATATACTTAAGAATGAAGTTAAATCATTTAAAATGTTTTGCTGTTTCACTAAGGGTATCCTTAAAGTGAAACTGATTTTTTTTTTTACAATGACTGTGTGGCAGTTTACCCACCATTGCTTTTTTTTATTTCCTCAATTTGAGGTAAAATTCACATAACAGTACTTCATTCTTCTTTTACAGCTGAATATTTCACTGTATGTATATAGCACCCTTTGTTATTTGGGCGTTTCTATCTTTTAAACATACGTGTACTTGTTTGAGTACCTGCTTTCAGTTCTTTTGGATGTATACCAAGGAGTGAAATTGCAGGGTCCCACTATTGGCTTTCCACCATCCATTCAAATAATTTTTTTTTTTTTTTTTTTGAGTTGGAGTCTCGCTCTATTGCCCAGACTGGAGTGCAGTGGCCGCTCCCGGCCACTGCAGCCTCGACCTGCTGGGCTCCCAAGTAGCCAGAACTACAGGCACACGCTACCATGCCCGGCTGATTTTTGATTTATTGTAGAGATGAGGTCTTGCCAAGTTGCTCAGGCAGGTCTCGAACCCGCGGGCTCAGGCAATCCACTCACCTCAGCCTCCCAAAGCGCAAGATTACAGGA